CAAGGTGTTATTGAAGCAGGGTACCGACTATACCAGATGTGTCTTACTTTTCGGTGTCGCAATTATTTTGTTGCGCAGAGATAGTATGCTTCAAAGAAATATAAAATAAATAGATACTCATGTCAATTTAAGATTACCAACGAACCGTGGCTTTTTCTTTTTTGTAAATTTAAATCTGGTCTTTAATCAGTGCACCAGTGTTAGCGCCGTTGGATTTTGATTCAAAACCATCTTCTTTCAATCTTTGATTAAAAAGTTAACAACAAAGTCACATATTATTTCCGTTTTATTAAATTCGTGTTGTAATGACATGCTTTTTGAAAATAATTCCCCAGGGATTCAAATCAAATTAATGAAGTATGGTGATTTAATAAGCTTCCTGGTTCGGTCTAACTTTAGGTAGACCCATTTATGTTGACTAAATTCATATCTGCCACCAGGGGGTAAAGTATAGTGTTGAACATTGTATAAGGTATACAGTAAAAATAGTATTAATTTATCATTGATTCATATTCCATTACTATCAATCTTATGTATCTTGGAAAGTTATTAAGTTATTGTAGTCTTGATTTATTATGATTCAAGTTGGTTTAGCTTAGTTATCAAGTTTGATTACTCTCGTTTACTCTATCCTAGATTATACCATTATCTTGATCTCGACCTAACTGTGTGCATGGAGGTAAGTCGTAAGGTCATTAAATCGGTAGTCGAGTAGCGAACATCCGGTGGGTCGTTAATATCTCAAAACGTCAGCTTTGGATTATATAATATTCTATACATAAATATATAGTATATAGATGTATATTTGGTATTAAAATTTATAATAGGCATGAACCAAATATCAACGATTTTAGTTATTTTAAAAAATATTTATAAAGTATTTTATTAGTTATTACTTTAAAGACATATTATATTATTATATATTACCTAATGAAAATAAAGTCTTAAAAAATGATCATATCAGAAAGTATCTTATTTTCGGAAAATAAATAGTTTAGCCTACCTACCGAATTACTAATAGTAAAATACAAGACTAAAATATCAATATACATGTATTGTAAAATATACTTTTAAAAGAAGGTTAAATGTGAGTTGGCAAACATCACCTCATAAAATAGATTTTAAACTTTATTTTCTCGACGTAAGTAATTTAAACTTAGTTTTTTTTCAGAAGTTTACCAGCTGTATATCATCTAGGTAAGTGTCTTATAGGTACGTAAATTCTAATGCTCATATGCTAGTTATTTCAAAAAAAAAAAACATGCATAATGATACTAATAAGTTATAAATTATTAGTTACCTAGGTAATTATTTCATAAATATAGTATATCAACTTTGTATGAAATATATACATATAGGTACATATTGATTCATATAGTTTATTAATATTAAATTCTAAAGTAACGTGATGATTGTACAAAATATTTTTACGAATAATTAATTTACAAACTTCACAGAGTATGGTTAAATTATTTTAGCCAGATTATACACAGCACCCAATGTCCTATGCTGCCGCGGGGGTTAATTAATAAAATAAAAATACAAGTACATTTTCCCACTAAGTATAGGTTTACACATACTATTATTATTATGTATTAGTTATCTAATATGTTGTTTGTATGGAAATGAAAGCTGTGTGTTGGAAACAAATCGTCCTAATACCGATTGTATGTTTACGAAGTCTGATCAAAATTGGTCGATCGCATTGATATAAATACAACATTTGTACATAAAATAATCTTTTGATACTTGGGTAAATGCGATAACCTTATATGTGTCTTATTTCAATTAGATTTCTAAGAACTAGATATGCATACATTACAAACATTGACAATTTGACATTTACAAATCAATGATCATAAGTTATCATAAAGAGTTAGTTTATATGGGTCAGGGATGTGATTATTATCTCAAGCGTTATTTGCGAACACGATAAGAATCTGTGACTCTGGAAAACACTATGAAGGTTTCTCTCTTTAGTACCTACCTACTTCAAGTGAAGAAATAAAATATTGAGAAACGACAAAGAATATTTTCGACGACCCACTAAACGTAACCATACTAATGGTGTGAATATTACAATGAATGAGTCATGTTCAACAAATAGTTGAAGACGTAGTTTTCAAGAGGATCTTAAACAAAAAACACACTTACAGAGGAAAAAAATGTGTTAGAATTCTGAAAATAATGAAACGTAATCACGAAGCTGCTAATAACTAATTATACTTACCAACACGTGCGGAATTGGAAAACACATTCAATCGATATAGATAGTTGAAGGTAATTATAATATTTGAAGTAATTAAATTGTTTGAACGAGCATTTTCCATTTCCAGTAGACGTGAGTCGTAACCATACAAATATATATTGTAATATGTTTTGATAGTTAATTATAGCTAAACGCATACCTATATCATATGCATATTTCGATTAAGAATGAATTTATTTAATTGAATATAAAATTGTGAATGAAATAATTGTCTGTTGTATGCTGTTTAAATAAAAATATTAGTAATCAATAATAATTAAATAGAAACACGGTATCTATAAATATAAATTAAATGTTTGTCCATGTAAAATGATTGAAGAACGAAAACGTGTACCTACTACATCTATATACATACATAAATATTATGAATACTATCTCTAAAATAAAAAAAAATGTCAATAGGTACCGTCATCGCGGAAAAGTTGTAACTTTCTCGATTAAACGAATGTTTGAATAAATTATTAATGACACGTCCAATGATCGTGATCAATTATTATTAATTTATTATTAACAGTAAATAACGGCAGTATACCTAACCGTTACAGCTGTTTTATACCCATTGAGTTATTCGAGTAGAAGCTAAGAATTAATTAATAAAATTATTGACGTTTCGGTGACATTGTTTATTATGTATATTTTATTAAAAGGTAATGACTAATGAACGACGGTGATTGATGTGTTGTGGAAGAAAATTAGAAACCGTAATAAGCGATAGTCACGCGGTTATTCTGTGTGCAATATTATACAAAATAGGTTATCATTCCGTGCACATCAGTTTATATTGAGCGTAAAATATTTTAAATTAAAAAATTCACCGCAAACAATGTTAGTGAATTTAAATTGAAACAAATACAAACAGTTTAAGTTCAGTTCATTTAAGCGGCTTTTAGCTTGAACGAATTTAATTTCACAGTGGTGAATTTCCTTGTGGTTTCGTCTGAATAGTGAGGTTCTATTTTATTTTTTCCTAACTCCGTCGTTACGAAAACAAATATTATATTGAATGAGACGGCTTTAATTCAATCAGATCACTTGCAATACCTAATGCGGTATAGAAACATTATACATTGATAACCGTCAAACCCAAAACTAATTAATATAATATGACTGTTCGGAAACCTATAATTATATTATGTATTTATATTTTGTATATATAATATTATATCTAAAAGTTCAAAATAAATATAGGTAATTTAGTTATTTATTAGTAATTCATACGGACAATGTCCAATTTACAATATAGTAATAATGATAACAGTAATAACATAACAATACTTAATAATTAATACAATTTTCCATTAATATTTACTTATATAAATAAAACAATGGTATACGTTATTGATTAAATATATATAAACCTAAAACTGGGAGTAAGATTAGAAATTATATTATACAAAATAATAATTAAGAAGGTAACATAACAAAATGGGTAACTACATTAATAAAATAACATATAAATACGAGTTTTCCACAGTACATCGACATTAATCATCCTAAGGCATAACAGTATTACTATTACATATTAAAGAAATAAATCACCCAATGTATAAATATAAATAAATGAGGTTAATTTATAGAATTATAATTACTAAAGTACCTATTCAAATAGCGTACACACTGACACACTGTACATAATATGCATGAAAAGTGTATATATGTTTCAGCTGAATTTAAGTAAGCGTTATTATACAAACTCAACATCAAATAATAATCATCACCTATTATTATCAACTGAAATCGAGTTTATCCAATAACAAATAACTCTAACATAATTTTACAAACCTAAAAAAAATAAGGAACGTTAACAATTTGGTTAAGTTAATTTCACAATATTTCTCTATTCGGAAAAAAAAATGGTATTATAATAGTATCCAAAATTTTAAACCAAACTACAAATCATAAGTAACATATTATAGTTTATAAAATTAATTACAAATTGAAAAGGTTTTGATTAATATTATAAATAATATATTACCTTTCAATTTTTTTTTTTATAAAGATTCCTTCAGACTAACCTAATTGAATTCTATACGAAACCTACGTACTATTAAACTATTTTACTATGAATTATAATCAGATCCTAGGTGGTTCAGAAAATTAATGAAATTTATAATTACATCACTTATAACTTATAACAATAATTAATTAAAAGTTAGAATTATAATATTATAATTCAATTACTGCCCATCCCTGACCGTAAATCTAATGCTTATAAGACTTTTTTGCCTAATAAAACATTAAATTATTTAATTATAAACACACACTCACACACTCTATAGTTATAAAACATTGTTAACATTGTAAAAACAAATTGCAACTGTATTATAAAGGGTGTAACAGAAATAACTGACAAAATATGTAACCAACCAACTATCAAATAACTTGTTCCAAGTTCTTATAATATTAAATTTTTTCATGAATATTTAATTAGTAAACAGTTTCCTCCACAAGTAATTCATGTGAACCTTTTATTTTTACCAAATTTACTTATCGTATTCGATAACACATTGTAAATATCTTTATAACTAAGTAAATAAAGTTTGGATACGAAACGGTGCCTTATCGAACTTGTATGAACAGGCATCCGAAGTCAATGTTCATGTTTGTGTATGTTCGACATTTATCATTGAGAAGTTTTTAATTTTTATTATTTCCTATACGTCAGTCACTACTACAGTCAGTATCAACTCGTTTTTTTAAGACACTATTCACTAAATTTACTTTAAAAATCTCAAGATGAACAACGAACAATTAGACGGCATAGCGTAATGCCGAACACATGGGGTACAGACTGCGTCTTCGAGTGATGCAGCCGATGTCGGACTGGGATTGCCGTCAGCCGCTTCCACGCAGGAGCCAGTGATGATAAACTCACTGCGGCCTGCCAACGACTCGCGACGCAAACGGTTTCAGTCGAGCCATCAAGTGGCCCGACCGAAATCATCGTGGCTAACTATGCAAGCCCCACGTTCAGGCTTTACATTTCGTTGCTGAACCATTCAATTATGACGCCTATTGCCACGCCGAAGTCATTATACGGATACCGTATATCTTCACCGACCGAGTTTTCAACGACCGATTCTTCACCACCAGACTGTTCAGAGTCTGGATCTTCCCCGTCCGAGTCTTCACCGTCGGCATCTTCCGCGTCCGAGTCTTCACCGTCGGCATCTTCCGACGTCTCTTAAAAGTTTGGCTCCGCAGCGGTCTCTGGCCGGCGAACTGACCGCATCTTTCTGACGTGATTTCACAACAATTTTCGTTCGATTCGACGGATGGAGTTATAATCTCGGCTTCAGAAGACTTGATAGTAACTTCTGTGATATTGACGATATTGTCACGTTCATTTAGACTTTGTTAATATAATATTAATATATTTACAAAAAAGTGTGCTATAACTTTTGACAAAATTTGTAATATTTAATATTACAATGGATATACTTAGGTAGTGTTCGTTGTAAGAATACGGCAATAATGTACTATGACACAGAAAATATTTAGGTATTCCAAACAGTATAGTTGTCCATAGCAACAACATTTTTAAAACTTTGGTCTCGGGAATAATATACATATATTATATTATATTAGTTTATTAGTTATCATTAACATATGTTAAATTCAAATTTTAAAATAAAAATTATGCCAAGAAATTAATAAAGTTAAGAATAAGCTTGAATGTGCTAAATTCCCGGTTTCTAAAGCTGTATTTTTATACAACCCAATAAGATATATATAATTCCATATTATGTTTTTGTACAATTTAAATAGAATTTGGTAACCTTTATGTTTAAGTACTTATTTGTTTAATATTGGCTAGAATGAATATATAACCGTCGTAAAAAATCTATAAGTAGTTATATAGGTATACAAACAATCGTAACTGCGGACAAAAAATATACTTTGTTCAATAATAATTTATTTTATTTAATGTATCTATCATTCGAAATATTTTTATTTTATAATCATTTAAATATTGTATCTACCTATATTAAGAAAAACTTGTAAAATCTACAACTAATAATAATAATTACTTTTTACATATCCTTAAAATATTATTAGGAAATGTAATATTTTATTTCAGGGATATATTATAATATATAATAAATAATATAAAATTATTAAGCAAAAAATATTATTTTTAATGTTTGAAAATTATAATATATTTATTAAAAAGTCGCTCTGCTGTACAGTAGGTTACAATAGTGGGTCACTGTATAATAGATGGTATTAAATTTGAATTCAATGATATAATATCATTGTATAAGAAAAATTATTCTGAGCGGAGACGGTATGTGAGTCTAGGTATAAGACATTTTTATACTTATCTATGGTATTAAAAAAAAAAATTGATTTATATAATAAATTCCAAATTAATCATATCACAATATCCATTAGGTACTTATAACGCCTTACACAACAATAAAAAACCGTCATACTATCATAAATATATAGTAGAATACTTCAGTTTCAAGTCCCCACGAATAATATTAAACAATGACAACAAAATAACTAAAATAGTTACTCTAGGTTTTTTAAAATGTAATTTCGTCCAAATTTGAACTTAAAATGACTATAAAAATAAACTGTGCTTATGTATTTTTTAGATTTTTTGGTAACAGAATTAACTACTTACGTGGAATCTGGTTTTACATTTTCAATCCTTAGATATGAAAGTTGAACTTTTTATAAATTTTTAACTACAAAATAATTATTCAATTTTATGTTTTATAAATTTTGTCAAAATTCGATCTTTCAATGCTTATATAAAAAAATTGTGATTATGTATTTTTAATATTTTTCAATTGCTATTGTAACAATATATCAGGAGCCTTGTATTAAATTTTTACACTTTTTGGCCCAACAGATAAAACTTTATTGATATTTAAAGAAAAAAAAAACTAAAAAAAATTGAAAGCTGTAAATGTCCGTAAACAGCTCAAAAAGAGTCAAAATATTTTCAAAATTGTATGGTGTATAGGAAATGCTAATATAAACATTCATTGAAATTTTAATGTATCTACAGTCATTTTTTTTTTATTTACAACAAAATAAGAATTTCGCTACAAGAGAAATCAAGTGAATATCCAATGTTGAAAAATTTGAATTTCAAACACTCATAAAAATTAAATTTTTGATATTAAATCTTTTTTGATAAAGTTAGATAATCCTATAAGGTATCTTGTATTACATTATAAAATCTTGGATTTAAAAAGAAAAATTTTTATTTACAATTTTATTGATATTTTTCGAATAAAAACTAAAAAAAATTGGAAGCTGTAAATGTCCGTAAACAGCTCAAAAAGAGTCAAAATATTTTCAAAATTTTATCGTGTATTGAAAATGCAAATGTAAACAACCAGTGAAAATTTCATGTATATACATTAATTTGTTTTAGAGTGACACCAAAAACCATAATCGATTTTGTGGAAAACCGATTTTGCGTACAAATTCTCGTTTTTTATTTATTTTTATTTTTATTTTTTTTTTTTTTTTGTCACAAAGCTTTTGAAAATGACTGGGAATTTTAAATTTTTACCTCCTCAATGTACCAACAATATTCACTTTCCCATTAAACAATATACTGAAGTTGAAAATTGAAGCATTATTTCGACTACTTATCGTGTACTCAGACAAAAAAAAAACACACATCATTGTAAAATCAATACATTCATCATTCCACTCAGAATATAAAATGAATATATTAGATAATAAACAATAATCATAGTAAATACATTTTAAAATAAAAGATATTACAATGTTAGTTAGTTACATCTGATAGCTGAAGTTGTTGCTGTGACTGCCTGTGTAACACAATATTGTTAATTTGTCAATATACTATTGTTAATTTTCGATATTATTATACAGTATAACATAATATAATAAATTTAAAAACATTATGAACAAAATATTACTAAAAGACAAATAATTGACCTAAAAAATATGACGATTTAAATATATTGTACAATCAACCAGTTATAGTAGCAATATCGAAGAACAAAAGGATTTTGTTTGTAGGAATTCTATGGCACACAGAAGGAAAAATGATAAATAATATAACTTTGTGGGTACCGGATAGGAACACCGAGACAACGATTTCATGACCGTGTAGATCAGGACCTGAGTTTTATAGTATTAGAAAATCCAGAAGAGATGGTAAAATACAGAGAACGATGGAAAGAAGTGGTAGTTGTGGCAAGAGGCCTGAATGGGCTATAATAAACCACAAAAAAAAAATAAGAGAAATATGTGGAATCGACTAAGCATTTATCGAGGTTAATAATCAGTAAATAACCTATTTAGGTACTTACAATAAACGGTAACTAATATAATATGTACTTTTTAAGAGCATTAAGTGATCCAGTCATTATTTCTAGTTACATTAACATCCTAACATTTTATAGGTTTTTAGTGCACTATAATAATTATAATTGTATTATATTTTAAGATTTTAAGGATTTTATGGACATAAGACTCCGGACTCTTCAAACACTAAATTAGAACAAAGTTACAGCTAAATCCAAAAGTATCTAACTGTAACGACTAAGGATTAAAATATATAATATTATTATTAGATGAGGACATGCAATGTCGCTGTATAGGTACTTACCTAATAAATCGCAGTGAAAACGTCTGCCTTGCAGTGATGCGACCGGATGTTCGGCTCATCTAACCCGGACAGGACTTAATTATGACTAACTCCATCCCCGAATTTATAATATTGTCTTCGGCTCATTTATACAATAATAGTAATTGTTCGGCCACCGTTTATTTCTGTTGCTGCTGTATAATATGTATACATGCTCGACGTGAACGGTTGAAAGGAGATGATGGTCGATGCAGAATAAAAATACAACTTTTGAATATAGTAAACAATTTAGTACACTCTTACCTATTTTAATTATAATAAGTTATCCAAGCATACGTATAATTTAATATTGGCATGAACGTTTTACGCAGTCAGTACCTACTCCAATTACCGATTTTTCGTTTATTTTTTTCGATGGACGCGTCGAACGTCCGGACGTGGTACTAGTATAAATATTATGAAGTATAGGTAATATACATTGTACAGTTATCATTATAAAATTTTAAAATATTACCCGCTCAAAATATAGTTAATAACGCGCGTACTTCCGCTTACGGTTAGGTGTGTTTGTGTGCGCTCATAAGTCATAATACAATAATATAATAATGTATAAACTGTGTAGTATAGGTATATACATAGGAATACATTAATTATTTTACCTGACCTTTTGATTGATGGAGTTACCCATCGTTTCGACTCGATATTTATCACGCTATTACTGTACGATCATGGTCATTGTTATTTCATGTACGAGTACCTACAGAAACGATGTTTAGTTTGAAATACATAGTACAAAACGTTGGCGATTTCGATAATGGCACGTACCTCATTTACACGAGCTGACATCATGACTCGTGCAATGATACATATTCCAAAAATTACATAGTTTCATTATTATTATTTTTTTTTTTATAAATAGATACATACATATATACAGCTGGATGGTTCACCAAGCACGTTCACTCGTTAGGTTCAGCATTTTTTTTTCCATATAACTATATGCATTAATTAAGTTCTGATTTTTAGAATTTTTAACTATCCATATTCTATATTATAGGTAGACTGCTTAAGGACTATATTTTCAAATACTGAGATATTTTTATGCCATTTAAGGAGCTTCATGTGGCAGTCCAAACATTTTAATGCTGATCAAGCTAAAAATGTCTATTTATATGAAGAATGTATAATTCGAAGTTTAAACAAGAAGATCAATTTATAACCAAAGAATCCTATATGAATCAATTTGGTAGGTATTCCAATATAATTATTTTTTAATGTAAAAATACTAGTTTTTAATTCTGAAATTTTCATTCAAAAATTCAATCCGTTGATTGAATTTTGTTTATGGCGTACCTGTA